ATACACTTATCCGCCATTTTAAATATTTTGCCGTTTGAAGAAGGTACGGTACTGACAGACGAACTGCTCAGTCAAAGCTCCCATTTAACCCGTAATATAACTTCTCATTTTAAATCAGGTAGATCTTAAAGAGTATTATGAATTAACATTAATTGCAATTCAGAACTATCAATCCATTTCAAGGATAAATGTCTAATAGCCATCTGTCACTAGGCTACATTAGGCACTTCTTTAGGGTCTGTAACTTTGCTAAGTGAGCACTGAATGTTGAAATAATTATAGGAGGAATGGTTGTAGAACTAGACGCCTTGGAGACAAGTACAGTATATCTCACAGTCATTTAACTTAGACGCCCAAATCATTTCCATAGATGTTCCAGACAGAATATTTTCTGGCGTTGACATTTCATATCTTCAAACATAAAATGTCTTCATGAATAATCAATCCACTGGTCTCTTGAAGCAGGTCCTGAGACTAAAGGAACAGGAAAAGTTAAGGACAAAAAAGAACCCCACAAGTTCATCTCCATGACAACAAGTACAATCCATTATAACATGATGCATCTACTGATGAGGAAGGAAGGGACTCATGATCACTTTTATTTCACCAAGGTTTTGAATCTCACAAGCTGTAAACTACTGGAACGTCAACATACATTGCCTGACAAGAATCTGGCCTCACCATCCCGTCTGTACACTGGGAACTGTGTACGAAACAAGCGGAGAAGCTGTGTACATGTGTTATATGTTGGGCACACATATATATTACGACGTTGATGGAAGACTGGAGTCTACCTGCACTACGTTTTGAAATCTCGATGGAAACCAATGCGGTTTTGTACATTACACAAGTCTGTAGTATTGGTAAAAGTCATGTCATCCTTTGACAAAAATATTTCTTGTTTGTTATATTATTCAACAATCTGCAGAGTTCCAGATAAATCATGGAGTAATGGTTAACGAGTAAAATTAACGAGTGGTTAAAGAGATACAGTGATACACATTCAACATATACGTCCCACCCACTTAATCCCATCTACATGGTGTCTTATGTCAAGTGTTTTATCCATGTTGCAGCCAATGCACTTGTGTCTCTGTACTCCTTATAGCTTGTTGCATATAATTTATTATTATCCATATGGTGAAACATACCCAGTGTCATATATATCATATGTGCACATATCACTTTTGCCAAGTAACCATTGTTTCTGTATTTCATCGTCTGTGACGTTATAAAACACTTGACGTCAATGAGCAGGGCAGTCACACCTGCTTACAGTTTTACTGCACAAATGTACATGAATAAAATCGGGAATAAAGAAATTGTTACACGCGCAAGTGGGCCACACGACTCGCTCTCGATCTCGCAGTACAAAATTTCACACTCGTTTCGAAAAAGTCTATGTTCCACTTGCACGTGTAATAATCTCTATGTTTAGATTACCAATTCTGGTCCCCATTGTGATCACAGACCACCTCCATCGTTATAAAGATTATTATGGTTGTAGGAATGGTTGTAGAACTATTCCACTGGCATTCAGAAGAGAAAGAATGTTTATCCCCAAACGTTATAACCTGAAGGTTTAACATCGTATTCCTGATTATAGCAGTCGTCAGTTTCAATAGGTAGACCAATACAATGATTTCATGTCATTTGAATCTCATCATCAAACAATCTATTTGAAATGTATTACGCACTTTGAAGGGTATGCACAAGTATGTAAAAGAAATAGGAGTCGACTGTACGACTCGGACTATATAATGATCGTGTGTTAATGACATGATCAAATAGTTATGATACAATTCCAAATTTCGATTTTCAATAGACGTTCATGATTCTCTTCAGGTGAACAATTGACTAGAGTTTGTATGTGTGACGACCAGTGCACCACCACAGGTAGGGCAGGACACGTAATTTTCTGTTTAACACCTGGTGCTCTTCAGGTGAACAATTGACTAGAGTGTGTATGTGTGACGACCAGTGCACCACTACAGGTAGGGCAGGACACGTAATCTTCTGTTTAACACCTGGTGCTCTTCAGGTAAACAATTGACTAGAGTGTGTATGTGTGACGACCAGTGCACCACTACAGGTAGGGCAAGACACGTAATCTTCTCTTTAACACCTGGTGCTCTTCAGGTAAACAATTGACTAGAGTTTGTATGTGTGACAACCAGTGCACCACCACAGGTAGGGCAGGACACGTAATTTTCTGTTTAACACCTGGTGCTCTTCAGGTAAACAATTGACTAGAGTGTGTATGTGTGACGACCAGTGCACCACTACAGGTAGGGCAGGACATGCATATCTTCTCTTTAACACCTGGTGCTCTTCAGGTAAACAATTGACTAGAGTTTGTATATGTGACGACCAGTGCACCACTACAGGTAGGGCAGGACACGTAATCTTCTGTTTAACACCTGGTGCTCTTCAGGTAAACAATTGACTAGAGTTTGTATATGTGACGACCAGTGCACCACCACAGGTAGGGCAGGACATGCATATCTTCTCTTTAACACCTGATTCTCTTCAGGTGAACAATTGACTAGAGTGTGTATGTGTGACGACCAGTGCACCACAACAGGTAGGGCAAGACACGTAATCTTCTCTTTAACACCTGATTCTCTTCAGGTGAACAATTGACTAGAGTGTGTATATGTGACGACCAGTGCACCACCACAGGTAGGGCAGGACACGTAATCTTCTGTTTAACACCTGATTATCTTCAGGTGAACAATTGACTAGAGTGTGTATATGTGACGACCAGTGCACCACTACAGGTAGGGCAGGACACGTAATCTTCTGTTTAACACCTGGTGCTCTTCAGGTAAACAATTGACTAGAGTGTGTATATGTGACGACCAGTGCACCACCACAGGTAGGGCAGGACATACATATCTTCTCTTTAACACCTGGTGCTCTTCAGGTGAACAATTGACTAGAGTTTGTATGTGTGACGACCAGTGTACCACTACAGGTAGGGCAGGACACGTAATCTTCTGTTTAACACCTGGTGCTCTTCAGGTAAACAATTGACTAGAGTTTGTATGTGTGACGACCAGTGCACCACAACAGGTAGGGCAGGACACGTAATCTTCTGTTTGACACCTGATTCTCTTCAGGTGAACAATTGACTAGAGTGTGTATAGGTGACGACCAGTGCACCACCACAGGTAGGGCAGGACACGTAATCTTCTCTTTAACACCTGATTCTCTTCAGGTGAACCTCAGGGTTTTTCCGCTTTTACTGTCTATTCCAAATTTAACAACCATTGCAACATATATTCCTGACTGTTTGCAAACTATTACAGTCCGTCGTCGGTGTGTTTTTCCTGATACTGTGATGTCTCATTTTTATCGTGTTTGGTTTCACTATTTTATTTGTTAAATTTAGAATCTAGACTTTTTAACATAAATATCTCACTGACTGTTTTTATCACTCTATTTGCTATCCATACGCGGGGACGCCTGACACTTGTTCACTTCATGTAATAGAGAGAAAGGAAACACAGCGCAATGGAGAAACAAATGAAACATGCTTTGGAAACTCGTGTTCTTCTTATGTTATTTTGTATGTACAAATAAAGCTAGATGGACGTATAGAAAGTCGCCATGGTACAGCTTGAACAGTGCTGATGCAGAACAATGAAATTCAGTGTCGATTATTTGCTGAAACATAATCCATTGGACGTTAATGACAAAGTAATGAATCTGTGAAGACTCACTCAATTCTTGTTCTGGTGAGGAGATGTTTGCGAAGGGCTAACATTCCCGAACATAACCTTCATAATATACCTGTACCATCAATTTGGAATTTGGTTTACTTCCATGTTTAAGCTAACTTAATGTTTGTCGTGAATTTATCAAATATCACAACTTTTTTATTAAGGATATTTGATGTCGTTCTGGACAATTATAAGGATGTCAGAAATTTGACAAAAATGATTTCCATGGGTGTTCAGTGGTTTTCCGAATTAACACAAAATTTGCCACTCATACTCCATCATGTCCTGTTGCATCGTTCAAAATATCAAATTGAACCATGAGAATTTCGCTCTCTGCCACCTTCCCCGCAAGGCTGTCACTGCTATGTTCGTACACTTTGAAAAGCTTGGCCACAATCCAGTCCCAAATGATGAGAACAATGTTCCAAGGAATCCCAAGCTAGTCGCATGTACATAAAGCAGCACTGTCTATCTCTAGTATGCCGGGGTGGAGGCACGCACGTAAAATCATGATCGACACTCGCTGGTCATAAAAATCAACAGTCTTTGGTGAGTTACAGGTCATAGATCGATCAGAAAAGGATCTATTATTCGATTCTGCTGGGTTCAGGTTCGACAGTCAGTCAAGTATTTACCACTGTCACTTCGAATTTCAACCTTTCGCAAAATGGAAAGACTGGCTCGTCCGCCATTTCAAACTGTTGCGTAACTGTCTATTTCCAAGAAAATAAGTAGGTCAGACGATTCCATTATAGTGTGGCCAGGGGGGTACAGTAACACGGCACACAAAACAATAGGCTGGTTTCGGTCGTGTGGAGTTATGATTATAAAAACCAAGCTCTTACGTGTTACATTATTGCATTGAATAAACAGTAGCTTGTTTCCTTTGGACGGAATAGTTTTTATGTTGCAATGTTAAAAAATATACGAACGGAACCTACCACTCCCTTCACAGACAAGTTCAATTCGTCTCTCGTCCCATGCCGGGTTACGCAGTGTCTTCCGTAGGACGAGGAAGTTTGATGTTAACTCGGTTATGATAGAATGGAGATAAACATATTGTATTGGGAAATTAGATGAATGCTACGCGTTCGGCTTCAAATGAAATTTAGAGACTATCAATTCGGTCTAACATTCATCTAATTTCCAAACACAGTACGTTTATCTCCTAATTGCTGGTTAAATTTGCAAATGCAATTTGCGCAGTTTCTACATAAAGCAAAAGACAACAGAGAACTATGTTATACTTATCTGCAATAACAACCTAAACACACATTGGAAAACTGAAGTTAACCATACTTTTTTAATAACTGCTCGTTGGTAATAAAACAATTATCAATTGTAAGATTTCGAACACTAATTACCAGCATGTCAGAATTTGAAATTCATGATGACGGAGTCAATATCTATCGTATCAGGAAATTTGACATTAATTATTTTTGTATCCTGATTATGGATATTTGATCTCCACTTGTTTGATGATGTCTGTACCAGTCTCTAGGGTATCAGAAAATTTCACAAAAATGTTTTCCTTCATGAAGGCTTAATGTTATGGCCAAATGTATCAAACTCAAAATAATAGTTGTATTGTAGATCTTTCACTTATTGATAGTTTATCTGCACTCGTTTGCTGACTGTGAAGTCAATGTAAAGGGAGACTGCCTCTTGCAGAGGTAACCTTCTGGGAACATCGAACAGACTGTCGTCATCGTCGGATATCTGAAAAAGACACAAAACAATTTAATTTCATTAAAGTGACTGGTCAGCTGTAAAATGAGGCCATACTTTCTCATCACACTGACACTACCAGCACAAATGTATACCTTGAGTATACCTTGAGCACATCTACATCTTTAATTGTTTTCTCAGCGTGAAGGTGGGTAGCACAGTGGTGAAAGCGTTCATTCTTCACTCTGAAGACCTAGGTTCGTTTCCCCACACGAGTACAATGTGTGAAGCCCACTTCCAATGTCCCAAGCTGTTGCTTGAAATCGGCGTGAAAGCAGACTAACTCACTCACTCAGCGCAATTACTATAATCAGAAGGCTATTGAACAATGTATATTTTCAAGACTCACACACCACACCACACCCCAACCCCAAAACACACACACACACACACAAACTCACTCACTCAATCAACAGTGGTGTAGTAACACAGTGGTTATGTGTCACGCCATTATAAAGGTTCTGAGGTTCACCACCGTGATTTAGATTCAGTCCTCCTCATTGACTAAGTTCCTAAACAGATGCTGCAGCACACCTCATTTGCATGTTTGTAGTTTCACATATCCTGCCAGAACCTACCAAAAACTTGGTCTCAGTCATCTTGATTGAGAGGACTGACGTCACTTTTTGGTGTAAGCACGGGGTTGAAATACTTCACAACAGCTCCCCATGTGGAGGACGCCCCAGCAGTATTGTAGATGACGGTATAGGGCGACCACCGAACAGTCAGATAAAACACCGCTTTATTGTCATCCTTGGCCAACAGAAACATTACAGGGCTGAAAAAGATGTATTCACCAGATATGAAACCATAACTCAGACGTTCTCTGTTTGTTTTAGTCTTAGATGAGGTATTGGTTTGTTCGGTCAGCATCGGTCTATGCAACTGAGATATATTAACAGTCATCAACCAAGTCAGCTGGCCTGATCCTGTCTGTCGCCTATCACAACAAGCATGATTGCTGAAGAACAATTATGTGGTGACTGACTTGAAATGGATGACATTTTCTGGTGTTAAAAATAATTTACTCAATCCCGTTAAAGTCACACACTCACATGATTAGAAACATCCACATGCATTAAAAAACACACTTATTAAAATGTTGATTATTGTACACTTCACAAATACATACTTGTTGACTCCATCTGCGGCTGCCTCCACGACAATATCCGCACCACTGGAGCAGGGAGAGACGTCATGAATACTCGCACCTGTTGTAAAGAAGACAGTGAGCAGGTGTGTGTTACGTAACAACTAGACAGGGGAACAGGGAGAGGCGTCTTGAATGCTGGCACCTGTTGTAAAGAAGACAGTCAGTAGGTGTGTGTTACATAACAATTAGACAGAGGAACAGGAAGAGGCGTTCTGAATACTTGCATCTGAAGTAAAGAAGACAGTGAGCAGGTGTGTGTTACATAACAAGTAGACAGAGGAACAGGAAGAGGCGTCCTGAATGCTCGCACCTGTTGTAAAGAAGACAGTGAGCAGGTGTGTGTTACATAACAACTAGACAGAGGAACAGGAAGAGGCGTCCTGAATGCTCGCACCTGTTGTAAAGAAGACAGTGAGCAGGTGTGTGTTACATAACAATTAGACGGGTTAGCAGGGAGAGACGTCCTGAATACTCGCACCTGTTGTAAAGAAGACAGTGAGCAGGTGTGTGTTACATAACAAGTAGACAGAGAAGCAGGGAGAGACGTCTTGAATCCTCGCACCTGTTGTAAAGAAGACACTGAGCAGGTGTGTGTTACATAACAACAAGACAGGGGAGCAGGGAGAGGCGTCCTGAATACTCGCACCTGTTGTAAAGAAAACAGTGAGCAGGTGTGTGTTCCATAACAACTAGACAGAGGAACAGGGAGAGGTGTCCTGAATACTCGCACCTGTTGTAAAGAAGACAGTGAACAGGTATGGTTTACATAACAACTAGACAGGGGAGCAAGAAGAGACGTCCTGAATACTCGCACCTGTTGTAATAAAGACAGTGAGCAGGTGTGTGTTATATAACAACTGGACAGGGGAGCAGAGAGAGGCGTACTGAATACTCGCACCTGTTGTAAAGAAGACAGTGAGCAGGTGTGTGTTTACATAACAAATAGACAGGGGAGCAGGGATAGGCGTCCTGAATACTCGCACTTGTTGTGAAGAAGAGAGTGAGCAGGTGTGTGTTATATAACAACTAGACAGGGGAGCAGGGATAGACGTCCTGAATGCTGGCACCTGTTGTAAAGAAGACAGTGAGCAGGTGTGTGTTACATAACAACTAGACAGGGGAGCAGGAAGAGGCGTTCTGAATACTCGCACCTGTTGTAAAGAAGACAGTGAGCAGGTGTGTGTTACATAACAACTTGACAGGGGAGCAGGGAGAGGCGTCCTGAATACTCGCACCTGTTGTAAAGAAGACAGTGAGCAGGTGTGTGTTACATAACAACTAGACAGAGGAACAGGGAGAGGCGGCCTGAATACTCGCACCTGTTGTAAAGAAGACAGTGAACAGGTATGGTTTACATAACAACTAGACAGGGGAGCAAGAAGAGGCGTCCTGAATACTCGCACCTGTTGTAATAAAGACAGTGAGCAGGTGTGTGTTATATAACAACTGGACAGGGGAGCAGAGAGAGGCGTCCTGAATACTCGCACCTGTTGTAAAGAAAACAGTGAGCAGGTGTGTGTTACATAACAACTAGACAGGGGAGCAGAGAGAGGCGTCCTGAATACTCGCACCTGTTGTAAAGAAAACAGTGAGCAGGTGTGTGTTACATAACAACTAGACAGGGGAGCAGGGATAGGCGTACTGAATACTCGCACCTGATGTAAAGAAGACAGTGAACAGGTGTGTGTTACATAACAACTAGACAGGGGAGCAGGGATAGACGTCCTGAATACTCGCACCTGTTGTAAAGAAGACAGTGAGCAGGTGTGTGTTACATAACAACTAGACAGGGGAGCAGGGAGAGACGTCCTGAATACTCGCACTTGTTGTAAAGAAGACAGTGAGCAGGTGTGTGTTACATAAGAACTAGACAGGGGAGCAGGGAGAGACGTCCTGAATACTCGCACTTGTTGTAAAGAAGACAGTGAGCAGGTGTGTGTTTACATAACAACTAGACAGGGGAGCAGGGAGAGGCGTCCTGAATACTCGCACCTGTTGTAAAGAAACCAGTGAGCAGGTGTGTGTTACATAACAACTAGACAGGGGAGCAGGGATAGGCGTACTGAATACTCGCACCTGATGTAAAGAAGACAGTGAACAGGTGTGTGTTACATAACAACTAGACAGGGGAGCAGGGATAGACGTCCTGAATCCTCGCACCTGTTGTAAAGAAGACAGTGAGCAGGTGTGTGTTACATAACAACTAGACAGGGGAGCAGGGAGATGCGTCCTGAATACTCGCACCTGTTGTAAAGAAGACACTGAGCAGGTGTGTGTTACATAACAACAAGACAGGGGAGCAGGGAGAGGCGTCCTGAATACTCGCACCTGTTGTAAAGAAAACAGTGAGCAGGTGTGTGTTACATAACAACTAGACAGGGATGAGGCACTGAATTATCACACCTGTTTTAAAGAAGACACGTGTTGAATAACGACTTGGTAGTATCATCACCCGATCCCCTTAGTCGCCTCTAAAGACAAGCATGGGTTGCTGAAGACCAAATCTAACTCTCATCGTCACTTGTATTATTAACAGTAAAACATGAAGTGATGCATGCATGGAAATATGTGTATAGACATGTGGTAGGTTTCCAGACATGTATCACTGTACCGGGTCAATCCAGAGGGTCTGCATGCACCGTCCTATGTCTAACGGTACGTTGTCATGGAAACATTTGCCTGATGTGGTCGGTAGATAGGAGAATCCGTAGGAGCAGGTGACATCCATCGTGGGTCCGGTTCCTGATCACCGAGAGTGCATTCAGGATCCGGAAGTCGCTGCAGGCAACTATACACAACACAGATTCCACATCAGTCTCGTCATGAACTACTTGTTGACAATTCCGACCTGTCAATACAGTGCTGAAACAGTAGTAGTAAATCGTATTTTTATGCACAGTGAGATCTTTTACAGCCTGATTTCCCAGTTACCTTATCGTTCCAACTTGGAATCAACAGGTTACACGAGGGATGACATTATTCCTGGTTTGGAATGATAGCACATTTCTAATGCTGTGTCATTTTACAGGAGGACCCACCCCTTAAGCTTGCCTGGAAGAAAAGTTCTGGTAAATATTAAATATTCTACACAGGCCTCTCTGTTATTTAAAACTGACGAGCATATGATGCTTACCGACATAGCAACATAGGATACAATAATCATATTCCTGTTGCGCCCAAGGTACGCAACTCCCAGTGAATTAGAAGACTTGGACAACCGTGCTTCAGTTATACATAGTGGATTTGTTCGGTCCAATACATATTGACAAAGCAGTTTAAGTGATGTGGGGGGTAATTAATGATAAATAAATCCATAATGGTTATAAATAATAAACAATAACAACAGAGATGTGTAGTCTATAACTGTTTTTATTAATAATTAGGTTGGGTCTGTTGGGTCTTGAATTAATAAAACTGTAGATGTTGTAGCAAGATAATAATACAGTCAACAACAGCCCTAACGAACTCAAAGGGTTAATTTCGTTATAACCACGGTTCGTTTTACGCCTTTGTTATATCTGTCAGTTTCTTGTAAGAGCGTTGGTATTAAACGTAGTTCACTGAACAAAGAGTTAAAGACATTGATTATGTTGTAGAAGACACACAAACATTTCTCACAGGGGACACAGTTTCAATTGATGGATATGGCCAAACCACTGCTACTTCCAATGAAGACGAGGGGGGGGGGGGATACATCTGTTTCATAGACGAAATTGGCAGTATTATGCAATGTGACAACATGTTTTATCATCAAATACTGGTTTCCAATACCTGTTGACCTGTTGATATCGCTTGTAGAAGATCAAGCGATATCTCCTAGGAGATATCGTTTCGGTAAGGTTTGAGCTAATTACTGATTGGTTAATATTTTCTTACTACTTTCATCTACCTCAGCTGTAAACAAAGTCATTGCTGCAATTCAGTCATTTTTGACAGGGGACACAGTTTCAATTGATGGAAATGGCCAAGCCACTGTTACTTCCAATCAAGGCGAGGGGAGGTACATCTGTTCCATAGACGGAATTGATTGGCCAGTGGAAGTGATGGAAACTCGGTTAGCATTAATTGTCCCACCCACCTCGACAACATTAGGTGAGCTGACGTCATCATCTACAACATCAACATATACCACAACATCGTGTACAAGTACAACGTCTCATGCTAACTTCAATTTAAACTCAATATGTTGACAACCATATACAGATGCAAGAAAACTAAAACACCGGAGATGATGTGTGTGACTTGAAAGTGGACAGTAATGGCCGGGAATTCCTAGAACTTACTGAGAGGGTCTCCAAAAAACGCCAGGGGGATCAAGCCGATCCGATCGAGTTCTTTAAAGCCTAACAAGCGCTTTCGTCCGGTTGCCTATAGGTACCCCGAGTCTCCATTTTATGTGTCCTGCACCACTGTTAAAAAACCCACCTGTTGACTCGGTGTGGTTCAAACGACAACCAGTTGGCATCCATACACTGGAATCGTTTATGAAGCGTACG